AAGATACGATGAGAAGTTTTAATTTTATCTCACTATGTAGTTGGTATCTCATTGGGTGGAAATAATAAAGATTATGTTGAAATCATTAAAAAATAGTTGTCTTCAAATTTTGAAATGAAGGATATAGGTAAAGCAGTTTATATAATAGGTGTTAAGATCTATATAGATCATTTGAAAAGGCTTCTTGCTCTATCACAAGAGCCATATATAAAAAAGATTCTTGAACAGTTCAAAATGAATAATTGAAACCCTATGATAATCCTACATCAAAAGTTGTCTCTTAAGTTTTCAAAATTATCCTAAGATTCTTGAGGAAAAAGAAGAAATGTCTCAAGTACAAAATTCCTGTGCAGTTGGGAGTTTGTGTATGCTATGATATGTACTCGTTCCGACTTTTGTTATGCTACTGGTATGGTCAATTTGATCCTAGAAGTGGGCATTTGAAAGCTGTTAAGAGGAGGATATTGAGATTTTTGAAGGGTACTGCTAGTTATTCCTTGTGCTATCAAGTGAATGGTTAGTGACACGGATGCTAATTGGGATGAAGATCTAGATGAGTGCAAATCAACTTCGAGATATGCATTTTTGCTTAATAATAGCTTCATCTTTTGGAGTTGCAAAAAACAAGTGTGCATTTCCTTATCTACAATGGAAGAAGATTTGTAGAATGTGCTTCAACAATACAGGAAACTATTCGGTTAAGGGGATTATTTCATCATCTAAGAGTCGTTAGCCCTTGTTTGTTACCCATTATTTCACAATTTATCACATTATTTTTTCTACATTACTCATTTTTAACTACACATTCTTCATTAAAATAATATTACACGCAAAAAAGAACTTTTCCTTCTTTTTTAACCACACATTATCTATCAATTTACTATTCCATAATACATTTTTAAAAATTAAAGGAGCTCAAACACACCCTTAATTGTGACGTAAGACCTTATATAGATTTATTGTGATAGTCAGACAACTATTGCATATATAAAGAATCCCAAGTATTATAACAAAACCAAATACATTGATACAAAATATAATTTTGTAAGAGACATCATAGGAAATAAATGAGTTTATAATATATTTCTATGCACCAAATGGTAACTGATCAATTTAAAAAACCCATCCCTAGAGATGCTTTATTACTTATGTTAATCTTTGGGATTGCGTAGAATTTGAATTCTGTATTACAAAAACCTTTTTATATGTCCATTAATGAACAATGTTTTTAATTCATATGCTAAAAATATGTAACGTTCACATGTAGTTGTGAAAGTCGAAAAACTTATGCTATAGGCGGTTCATTGAAACTGCAACCAACAAGTCAAACTGATTGTAAAGCAAGAATGTCTGCATCTTTAGATAGTCTTGAAATATGGAGGATTAACAAAGTACACCTTGAACACAATCACAAAACAAGTCCATCCAAGTCTAGGTCATACAGATGGAACTGAAAATTGAGTACGAGTGTGAAGAGAATGATGTGATAGGAATTCCCTTACACAAGAGTTATAACTCCGTAGTTGTCGAAGCTAATGGATATGAGAATACGACTTTTGTGGAGAAGGATTGTTGAAACTACATTGAACAGGTGAGACGATTATGCCTTGGAGAAAGAGATGCCCTCATAATATAGGCATACTTTTCAAAGATATAGGGGTTTTATTTTAGTATGGACTTAGACGACGAAAGCAAACTAAAGAATGTTATATGGACGGACAACATATGTAGACAATCTTACATGGAGTTTGGTGATGTTGTCACTTTTGATTCTACCTATCTCACTAATAAGTACGACATGCCATTCCGCCCTTTCGTTGGCATGAATCATCGTGGCCAATCCACACTGCTCGGTTGTGGATTGTTATCAAACAATGACACATGAACTTTTGTGTGGTCGTTCAGAACATGGCTTGGGTGTATGCATGGTCAAGCTCTTAATGGAATTGGTACTAATCAAGATCGGGCAATGCAAAATGCCATTGAGATTGTTTTTCCAAACACGAAGCATCGATGATGTTTATGGCACATTATAAAAAAGTTGCCAAAAAGTTTGGATACCACATTCAGAAGAGCTCGATATTTTCTGCTATACATGGATTGGTCTATGATTCCGAGAATGTACAAAAATTCAATGAAGGTTGGAGGTTGATGCTCAATATGTATGACTTGCATGACAATGATTGACTGTCAGGATTATATGAGAACAGAGTTCGTTAGGTGCCTTGTTTTTTGAAAACCATGTCTCGGCAGGCATGTCAACAACACAACTACGTGAGAACATAAGCGCATTTTTCGACGGGTATGTGCATTCAAAAACCTTATTCAAGCAGTTTGTCGAGCCGTGTGAAAGAGCATTAAGTAACAATGTCAAAGAGGAGTTTCGGGCTGATTTCAAGTCGTACTCCCAAATGGTGCCGTATGTGACAACTTTCGAAATGAAAAAGCAATTTCAATCGGTATATTCAATTTCAAAGCTCAAAGAAGTTCAGCAGGAGTTCATTGGGAAGATATACTGTGACGTCATATCTAAAAATGCCAATGATTACTATTGGTCGACTTACAAGGTTCATGAGATGTCGCACTTCACGAGCACTAGAAGAAAAAATCATGTTGCGTATCATTTCGGAGGGATACATGTGAATTGATTTGTAGTTGCCACCTATTTGAATTTTGGGGAATTATTTGTAGGCATGTGATCGCAGTCTTGATCTGTAACGACATAACGTTGATGCCTAAGTATATAATAAGGAGGTGGAAAAGAGATGTCAGTAGAGCACATTTGAGGATCACAGTAAATTACGATGGATTGGTAAGTACTCTTGGACAGTTGAGGTACGACGAGATGTGGCATGCTTTTTCGGAGGTGGTGGACCTCACAGCAGATGACGAAGGAAGGACACATACTATATTGGAGTGGATAAAATCGCAAGTAAAAGATTTACGGATGAGAAAGTCAAGTGTTGGAAGCGCTGTCCACTCACAGCCTAACAGTAGTAGTGGACACATATTAGATCTAATATCGTCGAACAGAAAGAGCGCACCAAAGAAACTTCAGAGGAAAGGCCATTAGAGTCCAGTTCAAAGAGAGGGAAGGTATGTTTTACTATTACTATCTTCATTCACTAAGAATTTGTAACAATCGCCCTTTGTTACCGGTATCCCGTTTGACCTCAAAACATTTTCGATATCCATGGTTACAACTAGGGCATCAATGTTTTAACTGGCATTATCCAAAGTAGTGCATGTTGCTTTTGCAATCGTGATAGGCTCCGAAATTTCTTCCTCTCGTTCTGGCCGACTACTGCAATTGAAACAAACTCGTCAAAAAGATAGACTCGAAGTGGTAGTTAAATGATTGATTATACATACATATGATTGAAAATATGATAAAATAAAAGTTCATCTTCTATTGTACATACGTGAAATTCGAATTACCCCCTAAAGAAATAATTAAATAAAAGTTCATCTTCCATCATACAAACATGAAATTCCAGCTGCAAATGCTAGGAGGCTTCTTTTTAAACACAAACTCAAGGGTTCATTTTCTTTGCCAGGTGATAACGTGTTTATAAACTTAGCATATATTAATTTACTAGCCTACTGTGCGTGCAAGAGTAACTATTATACTAATTTTAATTTTCCCATTATACAACCTTGTATTCAATCTCAACAACTGGTGCAGGACATTTCATCTTCATAAATCAACAAGAAGAATTCTTAGAATAAATGTATTCAGAATAACCGGTTGTATTCAATCTCAGTGAAGAAACTTATGTAAAACCGAGTTAACAACAAAGCTTAAATGCTACATCCATCTTGATAAAACAAGAAGTCTCATAATAAATGTAACTTACTCAAACAAAGATTAATCAACATCCAAAATCCAAACTTGTATAATTGGAAAACTTTCGAAATTCAAACATGGTAGTTATAAAAAAACATTATCCAATCTCAAAATCCATGTCAATAAACAACTTAACAAATACTTATATTACCGCTAGGGATGGAGGTGTGGTTGAGTTGAGTGTGGCACCAAGCGATGACGGTGAGTGCGACGGCCGATTCTGCCTGGGGTTGGAGCTTAGGGCAAACTGACGACAAATCGTTGTTGTCAACAATGTAAATGTGAAGGATACGATGTACGCCGGCTGATACTGACGATGAGTGCGACAATCAACTTGGATTTGGGAAAAGTTGCGTCTGTACCAATGTCAATTTGGGGGGAAATGGGGAAGCTCACTTGGTTTATGCGGGTGTGGATTGCCCTTTTGTTCATTTTTTTCCAATTCCCTTTTAGTTTGATTGTGATTTTAATGCTAAGTCAGTCATTTTAAATTCCTGTACATTTTCTGTCAAAAGGGCCCTATGCTTATAGTCGGAATTGACACATGCAAATCAGTACACAAGCAACAACAATGGCACCCATCATCAATTTGAGTTCGTACATCGCACTAATGAGTGGCATCGTCTACGATTGTCCCCGCCAACCTGTGGAACAGGAAGAGAGTGTTGCAAGTATATGTGTTTGTATGGGGGGAGAGAGAGAGAGAGAGAGAGAGAGAGAGAGAGAGAGAGAGAGAGAGAGAGAGAGAGAGA